CCCCCCCCCCCCCCCCCCTATTCGGTAGAGGACCCTTGATATCATGAATGAAAAACAAAGAGAAGACCAAAGCTGCGATAGCACCGAGTCTGATTCCAAATACCCTCGTGGCCTCAAAATCTATGCCGATCCAGCAGTTTTTCAGAGAAAGGAAAGACGGAACAACAATGATATTTAAGACAAAAAAAAATTGATGTAGATGTTCATCCACAGATTCCCAGAAACCTAAAATTTTACAACTGACAAACCATGAAAAAGATTCCATCAAGGAGAGAAGAGATCTAGCCTACACAGACACACAACTACTAAGTCACAATTTAAGCTAAAGTTACAAGTTAGCAATTGATTATATAAAAGGGCATAAGTTCTTGACAACACTATATATTTAAATAGAGAAAGAGAGTAGGGGAGGAAAGTTTTGAGATTTAAAAAATTCTATTGTTTGAAGAGAAATAAGGAGCACAGTGGAGAGGAAAGAAAATTCAATAAACATTTTTTTTTTATAATTTCTCTTCCTTTTTTCATCTTCTCGTCCAAACAAAGGATAAAAGAAAACATCATAGTTATTAGATATCAAACTAGAAGTGAAAGTGCTCGACCAAAAAAAAAAAAAGTAGAAGTGAAATTGGAGAGCTTAGCAAAGAAACAGAGAAATCAAAGTAGAGAAAGGAACCGCAAAGTAAAAGGTGAATAACAAATGTAAAGTCTCATGAATAATTAGATTATCAAAGTTTCAACAGGGAGGATCAATAAACAGAGAGGTTTGGACCACCTGTGTGAGAGGCAACAAAGAAGAGAGACGGAAAAACTGAGTATTGGGATTGAAAGAAAACAATGAGCACAAATTAGATAAAATATTATTCACTATGATTGCCGGTTGCACAGTTCTATCTGTGAATGTCACAGGAGCCCAACTCGTAGAGGATTACCGATTCCATCATTTTTTTATGAACTTTCCTGACGTTCCCACTAGAAAACAATCTTCTGTCTACACAAGGATCACAAGGCAGTCATGATTTTGACAAACTTGGCCTAGCCCAATTATACCATCATATAGAAGTTAGAACAATAGCAATCAGAAATAAATTGAAGTCAAATGAGGTGTTATATGCACACAAAAATCAGAAGAACTGAAAAAGTATGAAATTAGAAACCAAATGGCGGTCTGAATCATCATGCTTAATTCACAAATATCTACCTAATGTCTCAACAAAAAAGAAAATGGAAAGATGCGATTACCTCTGCACCCAGATTTTCTTAGTTTGTGAGCAGAACAACTTCTGAGTTTATAGAATCTGCAAAACAAAAGTCCAGTAGCCGTAGAATGAGGGTTAAAAAAATGAATAATGTTGTATCTTGCTGTCCAAGGGCATAACAGATTCTGGGAAGTGGCAGATGTTAGAATCTCAGTAAGCATAATAAGCAAACACAGCAAATTCCCAGTATAACCCAAGACTTAAACTAAAGACCAGATATGATGCTAGGTGCCTGGCTGTTGCATTGTCAACACTCAGTATGATAGGCTGATGATGGCAGTTTCGGGAAATGGGATGGATTCAACATCATGTATATTCGACATGGAAAAACAGGAATTTGGAAACCACAGTTCAGTTCCAACTTCTCACAGTTACGTCACATCATTCCAAAGAATTGAGTGATATATAAAAACACATAATTGGAGACCCTGGTAGGATTAGGTTAATGACAACAATATGATAAAAAAAAGTAAAAATAGAAAACAACTGATGAGTGTCATAACAAATCTCTGATCCAAAACAAAAAATGTTGGAGTCAGTCAGAACACAGGATTTGCAAATTTGGATTTGAAATAAAGAACAATTCATGAATTCTCTTCCTCATATGATAACTTATTACAACCAAAACAAATAGGAGTAAAACCTCTCACCTCTAAAACACAAAAAAGAAAATGAATAGAGAACAAAGTTATGTAGCTAGAGTCGCTTTTCTCTTTCCTTCTCTCTTCTTTACGGGACCTCCATCTGTTCCCTTGATCATTCTCGACAAAACATCTGCTTGCTTTGTGTTCCCCTCCTGATTAAGGCTCTTGATCAGCTCATCACGGCTGCTCCAATCAGTTGATCCTCTTTTCTCCAGAATTTTACACAAAATGGAATACGCATTGAGGGTCTTCCCTGCTGCTAAAAGAGCATCTAAAACCTTATCATAGATTGAAAACTCTATGATACAGTCTCTCTCAAGAACAAAATCTAACAGTTTGAGAGCGGCAATTGTCTTTTCTTTCTCACAAAGAACAGATAAAAGGTGGTCAAAATCAGGCTCACACCCATTAACTGTAAGCAAATCAATTCGACCCAGAGCTTCTTCCACATGACCTCTCATGAGAAGAGCCTCCAATATCTTAGAAACCAAGTCCATATTCTCCTTCACCCCCTTCTCCACCCCCTTCTCCACCATACTCTTCATCACTCTGCTTGCAGTTTGGACCCTGCCATCATCAAACAAACTCTCCATAATCGACCTGTACAGTGATGACTCCGGTTGATGCCCACTCTCAAGCATGCTATCCAAAGCTGTTTTAGCATCAGCCGGCTCCCCTTTCCTCAAGTAACTCTCAATAAGCAATTTGTAGGAATCCGCATCTCTGGGAACCCCTCTCCTTCCCATGATCTTAATAATCTCAAATGCAGAATCAGGGTTGCCTTCCTTCGAATGCCCCCGGATCAAACTATTAAAAGCAGCCGAATCCTGCACACCCTTTTTCATCAACTGCCGGAAAAACGTTTCCGCCTTGCCAGTCCTCCCATGATCACACAAATACTCAATCATCAAATTATAAGCACTCGGCTCCATCTCAAACGCATTCTGCGGCCGCAACACAATCTCCTTCTCAATCAACTTGTCCAACAACTTCTCCGCCTTGTCATACACACTAGCCTTACAAAAACTCTCAATCAGAACCCCATAGTGACCCGCCTCAGTCGGAATGCTCAACCTAATCATCCCCTTCAACACATCCGCGGCCGCATCCAAGTCCCCAGCCTTACAATGACAACTCAACAGCTTCATAAACACAGCATTATCCTTGGGCGCGATAAACCTCTCCACCATCTCCGCCAAAACCTCCCTGGCCTCCGCCGTCTTCTCAGCATCACACAAGCCCGGCAACAACGTGGAGAATGTGACCGCATTGGGCTTAATCCCGCAGCTCTTCATCTCCTGAAAAACCTCCATGGCACCATCAATCCGCCCCGCGGCAACATAGCCTTTCAACATGGTGGTGAAACTAATCACATTAGGAGCAATCTCCTTCCCCTTCATCTCCGCAAACAAATTCTCCGCCTCCTCCACCTTCTTAAACCTCAAAAACCCGTTAATCAAAGTGTTGTAAGTCACAACATCAGGCACAATACCCCTACTCTTCATATCCTCGTGAAACCTAACCGCAGTGTCTAACCTCAGGGACAAAAACATTCCCCAAAGGAGGATGTTAAAGGTGTGGCGCGTGGGGTCCACGCCCTCGCGCAGCATCGCGTTGTAGAGGCGCTTCGCCATCATGTACCTCCCGCGGCGGAGGATGACCTTGAAGAGCGCGTCGTAGGACTTGACGGTGCGTTGGACGCCGAGGTCGGGCATCTTGCGGAAGATGTTGACGGCCTCCTGGACGATGCCGGCGCGGCCGTAGCCGTCGATGAGGGCGACGAAGGCGTCCTCGGAGCGGGGCGCATGGGGATCGAGGAGGATGCAGCGCGCGTGGTTGAGCTTAGCGTGGCGGGCGAGGATCTGGACGATCTTGAGCGTGGTGTCGGGGGTGTGGGCGAAGAGGCCGGCGCGGGGGAGCCAGCGGTAGAATTGGAGGGCGTGGTCGGGGGAGGCGGAGGCGGCGTGGAGGACGTTGTAGACGAGGGAGGGGTCGAAGTGCGGGACGAGGGAGCGGATCGAGTTCTGGAGCCGCGTCGTCCAGGCGCGGTTCGACATCATTTTGCAGATGGTCAGTTCCAGGTTTTTGTGGGCTGGGCTTTGGGCTTGGGTTTGGGTTTGGGTTTGGGTTTGGATTTGTGGGGAAGGAGAGGGGTGTGGAGCGTGGTCGGGCTCTGAGAGGGCTTCGGCGGTGGAGAAGGTGGAGAGAGGGTTGGGGTGGAGTGTGGGTCTCCATCGGAGGAGCTTCGAATTGGAAACCAGAGCCATGGGATTGGAGTTGGCCAAGGGTGGCAGCGCTAGGGTTTAAGAATTAAGACTTCACAAACATACCTCAAACTAACACTACACTACACTCACTAGTCACTAGAGTGATTTTTTTTAATTACACTTTTATATATATATATATATATATATATAAGTGATGAATTGATTTTGTTCTTACAGTTTTAAGAGAAAAGAAGTTATTTCCATTATTTTTTTTCGTTTATTTTTAAGAGCTTTTAAAAGATTTTTTAAATATAAAAAGTCGTGTGATATAAAAAAAATTATATAATATTCATTTAAGATAATTAAAATTTTTAAGATAAAAATACACTTTTAATTAAAATAATCATGATTTTTTTTAACAATATGTTAAAATTTTATGATATTTAATTAACACTTTTTTTCATATTTAATTAAAAAGCTTACTAGTATTAAAAAACATACAGAATTTAATAAATTATTTTTATGGTTAAATTTTGTGAAATTTTTTTTAATAAAATTTATCTATAATTCATTTCTTCATTAATTTCATCAAAATTATTAAAATTTCATAAAAAAAATTCTCATTTATCTATGCTCTCTCTAACTCTCAATTTATCTTTCCTCTCTCTTTCTCCTCCCTCTCTTTCCTAAATCTCTTTCCTAAATCGTTTAATTTTTCTCTATTTTTTTTCTTCTTTCTTCTCATATATTCTTCTTTTCATATTTTTTTTCACCTCATTTATTTATTTTTCTCTTATCTTTTTTTTATTTGTCAATATTTTTTTTACATATATATATATATATATATATATATCAATATTGATATATGATTTATTAATATTTATTTTTAATTAGTAAATATTTAAAATTATTTTTGAATTATTAAATATTTTGTTAAATTTTTTAAATTATTAAATTTTAACAAATGTTTATTTTTAATAAAATTTAATATTAAAATATAAATTTTTTATATCTCAATAATTTTATCGATTAATAAATATCATAAATTTAAATATATTATTTAAATTCAATAGTATGAATGAAAAAATATAAATTTATATAAGAATGAATGTAAAGAAATGTTACAAATATAAAGTCAGAATCAATTGTTTATTGAAAATTTTTAAAAATTATTCGTAACAATCCATTACAACACAATACAACACACTATTAGAATATATACTAAAATAATAAAATAAAAATATTTACAACACAAGTTGTTAGGCAAGCAACCAAAAACATCCAACTATAAATAGCAAAATGTGTTACTATAAGGTAGACTACAAAAGGAACATCCACTCTAGGGACCTTCTATGGCCTCTAGCATTGCTCTCATATATCGTATGATTATCACAGTCCAAATCACATGAAAACATGTAAAGGTAAGCTAGAGAAAATAAACAACTCATAATAATTAAATATGCAACATAACAACTATATAATCATCTTCACATCCAATACAAATAACAAATAACACATATACTACACATCTTAACATCATTTCAACTTAATTCAACATATATGCATTGATCAACACAATATCAACACCTCAACACAACTACTATACAACTCATCATCACAATATCAACTCATCAATACATATGTGTCGTCACGCATTTCAACTCGGAGATCTCCTAACAACATGAGCAATCTAAGTGATTTCCACCCTACCGAACCAACCCAATCGTTTTCACGCCCGAAGCGCCGGCTCGATCACAATAAAATGGGATATCAATCCTTCCTCTAGTTTCTCGAGTCTCATCACTTACACTAGGAAAGTTCAGTTCCACCGTCAAGAGTAGTATAACTAGGTATAGACTTACAATAACCTTGACGTGCATTACCAAGTCACATATAGAATTCGCCCAATTATTATCCTCGAGGAACCACACAACCTTTCCAGGTATTTAGTTAAGGATTGTTACCCTTGACCTCCTACCTTACTCAACCACTAACTCAGGATTTGGAGGAGACTCAACACACCTCAAAACCTACTCCAAGAGACACAACTACTCAAGGAAGGTTTTCCAAACAGTGGCCTACTCGAGCACCACTCCAAGATACCCTATGTGGGATCTTCAATTTTCAAAATTATTTTCTCTCCTCAAATTCTAATTTAGCCATCATGCTATAATGCCACACTGCATTCTCAGCATCCACACCATACCATACATCTACTATATACATTACATCCAGTCAATGCATTTAGAGATCAATACCATCAATCATGTGCAACATACCAATACTTAACATTTTAACCAAGAATAACATACCAATGCTTAACAATTTATACAATGATAGTATATAAATGCTTAACATCTCAACCAAGAACAACATACCAACACTTAAAAATTTATACAATAATAGCATATCAATGCTTAACATCTCAAGCAAGAACAGCATACCAATGCTTAACAATTTATACGATATGCTAATGCTTAACAATTAATTCAACATAACATATCAAACATATAAAGCATACCAATGCTCTCACCATTTCAAGTGCACAAGGATAACATTCTAATGCTTATTATCATCATCCTATAACATACAACATGCAATAGACACAATCATTCTATTCATGTTCACCAATTTCACCCATCATACAACATGTATCACATGCAATTTATCAAAATCACATATTTCTATATTGACAACCTTCACATAAAATAACTCCTAGGGAGTTCTACTAATCCAATCACTCTCATCCTTATCTCATATGAAAGACAAGAACATTTTCTACAAATTTCATGAAGAACTTAGTTTCTAATTCCCTCATCTATCATGTTAAAAATTGTAAAAACTGCAACCGTTTTCCTAAATGTTGACAGCTTGACTTTTTCTCACTATAAAGGTCATAACTGGAGCTCTACACCTCCTTTTTGGGTGATTCCAATGCCATTGAAAAGATAACATCCAAGGCTACAACTTTCATGAAGACCTCAAGACCAAATTCGGTCATCTACCCTCACTGCTGCAGTGCTCAAATTAGCGCTTCAGCGTTGGATTTCTGCCAGCTCAGTTTCCTTTCCACGGCCATAGTTGTTAATCTACGGTCATGGCTGTGCGTTTCTGCCTCCACATTTTTCCCTACGGCCATGGCTGTGAGTCTCGGAATTTTCTAAAATTTCATGGATTTCACCTTCAATCCTCTCCTTTTCTTCACCAATCTTCCCCCTAAATATGATCTACACTCATGATTACTACTACACTCATTCAAGCAACCAAGAAATCATGAAAAACTTAACATGCATGCATCAACATTCATGATCTCCCATTTTTACCCAACACATTCAAGAACACCACAGCCCAACAACATGCAACCCACCCAACTCAACTACTCAGCCCCCAAATCACACACTAGATGATGATCCAACCACATGAAACCCAAAAGGTACAACAAATTCGAGTTTTAACTTCCCTTACCTCGAAACGGAGTGAACGATGAACTCCGAGCTACTCCGAGGTTGAAGAAGAAGAAGAAGATGGAATAGGAATCCAACTATGGACTTCAAAGCTCCCTAGCACATCAATTGCTCAACAACCTTGAGAATCAACAAAAAATGAAAGATGTTTGGGAGAAGGAAATGAGAAAAAGAAAGAGAATGAGAAAGAAAGAAAAAATGAGAGAGGGGGGAGAAGGCTACGAGTCTCACATTATTAATTTTATTTTCTTTTGTAACACCCTGTTACCAAATCCAGCCCGCAAAAATAAAATCAATAAAAAACAAAATACTCAATCAATAAATTATCGTAATAGAAAAATTCTCTTTATACATAAATCAGTAATACACCCTAGTAGATAAATCCTCGTATTTATATATTAAAATAACTTTTCTAAACAAATTTTTTTTTAGAAATTAATCTTCAACTAAAACATTTTATTAAAAAAAATCATCCTTTTATCTCTTTTATTTTATTATTTTAATTTTAATTTAATATTTTAAAAATATCAATAATTAAAATAACATTGTATTACAATATAAATTATTTATTATAAATTTAAAATATAATTTATATGTTAAAATATATTAATTTATTATAAATTATAGGTTAAAAACTTAATTTGGTCCCTTATTATATTTGTTTGTTTCAATTTAGTCCCACTTTAATTTTTTGTTTCAATTTGGTCCCTAATAATTTAAATTATTGCAATGTCGAACTTTCGTTCAAATTATTTAAACGGAGTTAACTGTTGGCTACGTGGATGTCACGTAGATGCATAGGTGGATGCCAAATTTCTTGAATGCACCTGGAACCCGAACGACCCGTTCTGAAACTAGAACGGTCCGTTCTGAAACCAGAACGGCCCGTTCTGGTTGCACATGTTGTGTGTTAATTTTGCATATGAAACGGGTCGTTCCAGATACAAAATTAACACACCACGAGTGCATCAAAACGGGCCATTCTGATACCAGAACGGGCGGTTCTGGTTTTAGAACGGGCCGTTCTGGATTCAGAACGACCCGTTCTAGGACACCAACCACTTATGTTCTTTGAACAAAATGCCGTAATGTGATTCAAAAATTGAAAATAAAAATTCATAACATATGATAAATTCAAAGACAGAAATATGATTCAGAGACTGAAAATAAAAATTCAGAACATAACATATACTAAGAAAGTTCAAAGAAATTACTGAGAAGGGAAATCATCTGGATAACGCTGAAGGTGCCAATAATACATCTTATCCACCATATAACACTGAATGACTGATAGGATATCAACATTATCTACATGTACACGTGGTTGTGTGGTGAAATATTAGTCATGTGTATCATCTTCCTTTACTTCAGGTTATACTTCCTCAAGAACAGGTTGTTGTTGTTGGGGTACATCGTCAATGACTTCAAGGAGAAACACCATGTCGTTTCATCCTTGACTGTATAGTGTCAATTTGGTAGTAAGTGGTTCACTCTAGTTTAACTAACAATGAAATAAAACCTGCTACCATTATCCTTAGGGATACACTGCATTGTCCTTAATGATACACTATATAGCCCAAATGTTTAGCAATTGAAGTTATCAATCCCCATTGACAATATTACCAAATCCAGTGTTTGAAATGCTTTGTATATTAGGTCTTTTTCCATGCACGATTCACAACCGTGAACTATAAATCATCGATTATTATTATATAAATTGGGCGTTAAAATCGGGCGTTACATCTTTATTCAAACCTTATAATTTATATTTTTTAATATTAATTGAATTATTTTTTACAAATTCATGTTATCCTTTAAAATCTAATAAAATCTTTTCAAATTTTATAAATTCTTAAGATACAAATCCATTAAAATTTATATTACAAAATCTTGATTAAAAAGGTCTTTTAAAAAAAATCTTCAAAGTTATTACATTCCTACACAAATTTTTAAAAAATATTAAAAATAATTAAATTCTTATAAAATCTTTTAAATTTTACAAGACCTTTTTTACTTAAAAAAGTATAAAATCTTAATCCAATAGACCTCCTAAATGTAAAATTTATTGTTCAGTCGATTAAATTAAAACGTTAATAAAGTTTACTTTTTTAGATTATCACATAATCATTAAATTGTGAATTTTCATTATTTAACTAAAATTTTGATTAAGTCAATGTATTACTATTTTAAACAATTATATTTAAAAGATTAGGTATTAGAAATTAGATTGCCATTTATTTATTTTTCTTATTAACATTAAAATATTTAAATTTAACACTTTAAAAAATGTTAACATGAATTGAAAAATATAACTGATATATATATATATATATATATATATATATATAATATAATGTTTTATTCTGTTATATTCCTAAAATAAAATAATTAGCATAATATTTTATTACATAGAAATTCAAATAACATTATTATTTATTTCATAAATGTAACAGAATATTTATGATGTTACTTAGTTTATAATTTTATTTTGATGTAATAAGATAAATTCATCTTATTTACTATTTTATCTTATCATAAACTTTAAAATTATTTTAAGGGCCAAAACTTTTGCTTTCTTTTCATATTGATTCTCAGAATGTGAAATTGTCAAATTTTATCTGACATCTGAAAAGTTTTTTAAAAAAATATTAATGCTTGAATCGAACATTAGAGTGCAATGTTGTATAATGGGAAAAAAAATGCTGCAACATATATGCTGATGACTGCAGACTGATAATTATATATAGAATTAATATATTTATAGTTCAACCCTTATGATTTCATAAGAATTTTTAGGAAACAAACTAGTCAAGCACTAACTAAATAAACACAACAAATCTTAAGAAAAACAGTCTCTAACAAAAACTAAAAAATATCTAAACATATATATAATTATTGACAACTTAATCTTTAAAGAAGCCATAATTATCTCGCATCCCGCATAAGAGTCAAGGGATGTGAAATAAAACTTATTCTTTAAACAAACATATAATTAAAACATAATCAACCCTTCTGGGGGACACTTCTCTTCTGCCAAAACTTCAAATGCACAGCTCTTTCTTCCAGCATCTGCTCAACTTCCTCCATTGGAACACCTTTAGTTTCTGGCACGAAAATGAGGACAAAGAAAATTCCAAGGAAAGCAACAAATCCGAATAACATGAATGTCCATGCTGTCCCAATACCTTCTGTCAAAGACAAAAAGGACTGAGAAACAATGAGATTTGAAACCCAACATGTTGTTGAAGCAATTCCTCCACATATTCCACGGTATCTTAGAGGATAGATTTCAGAATTGACAACCCATGGAACTGTTCCCATCCCTGGTGAGAAAAATATGATGTATAATGCAAGTCCCAATATTGCAAGCCACCCACTTTTGCTAGGACATCCTTTTGTGTACCATGCTCTTTTATCTTTTTGGCATAGACCCTTTGTGGCATCATTAGAAATCAAACATGCCCCGGGTAAGAGCTGCACATATAACAACAAACGCTAGTGTGAGAACAACCATATCAATTTTCCATAAATGAATTCAAAGAATAATAATTACAAATCATAATATATGGAGAGATTTGTAGAAAGAAAAAAGTATCATTACAATTTTAATAATTATATGAGAAAATAGGCCATTCTCAGACACCATAAAATAATATTATACTGTCATCTAATCAGAAATCATTATGTATGAAAAGTTTATCAATGGTGAATTTTATTAATTAATTGTGTAAACCTTTATAATATTGTATCTGACTTACCCTGTTGGAGCCAGATGCACAAAAGCCACATTCAGGTGAAGCCTTGAGACACTTCATGCAATCCCATTCACTAGGATTCACAGTTGTGTGGAAACTAGGGCAAGTGTTGTTGAAATGAGAGGTCTCCACTGGACTAACCATTGGAGAATGAGTTTCAGTCTCACGAAAAGTTGCAGTTAGAAGGGCCAAGGCTAAAACGCAGCCACACAAACTGAACAAAGCAAGTTTCTTTCTACCAGTCTTGTCGATGAAGTATATGCTCACAATTGAACCGAATGCATTCAGACCAGAAGTGATCAGGGACAAGAGTAGTGCCGTCTGGTTGGATGCAAAACCAGCTAGCTGAACAATTGTGGGACTGTAGTACATGACAGTGTTGATTCCTGCAAACTGCTGGAACACTTGAAGACCCATTCCTGCAATCAATCCTCTCCTCACAGATTTGGTTTTTAGAAGGTTGATTATGCTGATCTTTCCTGAAGACTCTGCTTCCTTCAGTTCCAAAGAAACTGAGTCCCGCAATGCTTGAATTTCAGCTTCAACTTCATCAGCTGCATAAATTTTTCTTAAAATTGCTTTTCCTTCCTCCTCCTTTCCCTGTTACATAAAGATAAGACAGATCAACTCATAAAAATACAGTTTTCAGAGAAAAAAAAAAGACCAAAAAAGTGTATGAGTGATGATTTAACTAACCTTTCGGAACAACCAACGTGGTGATTCTGGGAGAGTAAACATCAACACCACTTGTATTATAGCAGGTGCAGCAGCCACACCCAGCATCCACCTCCATGTTCCAGGCGCCTGAATGAAAAAGTAACTAAATTATATGAGCATATTACATAAAAGAGGAATACTAGTAACACATTATCTGATACACTCATGAAAAACTCATTAAATAGGATTTGAGACCTATCAAATTTTATGAGATTTCTAATAAACTTCAAATAATCAAAGAAAACATGTGTGAGGGTGTGTGCTTCTAGCATTTCTCTCACAAGAATACAAATGTCTAAAATTTTATGTTGGATTGTTGTGCAAGTAAGACAACATAAACTAAGAATGTTGTGTAGTTTCCATTTATAATATGAATATATGATAGTATCTTTTATAAAACAAAGCATTAAAACAAGCAACAAAATTTGGATATAGTACCATAAGTATGGTTAGTGTTCTACAATCAAAGTAAAACTTCTTCCTATAACAATACCAATATTTTGCCCAAAGACAAGTAGTAAGTAATGGAAAAGATTGGGTGACCTTAGTGAAAGCCAAGTTGATGAGGTAGGAGAGAAATTGTCCACCAGTGATGAGGAAACTGTTGAGAGCTACAAGGGCTCCTCGAACTCTAGTGGGAGAAGCCTCGGAAATGTACAGGGGAGAAGCCATTGACGCCATTCCAACACCAAGGCCAACAAAAACTCGACCCACGATGAGAATAGCAGGGCTTATAGCCGCAGCCATTATCACTGACCCAATAAAAAAGAGGGTATCTGCTACAATGATTGATTTTCTCCTTCCAAATCGATCGTTCATCCACCCACCAACTGCGGCACCTATGATTGCTCCAACAAGTGCTGTACTCACTATAGCTTCCTGCAATTTTTTACAGGTATCAGCATACTACCATCACAACATCAGGATAAATCTTTTTTTTAATTCAGATCAACCCGTATAATTTTAGAATCCAACACCATTAAACATAATTAGATTAGGTGAACTTTACATTTTTCATTTGACTCGATCCAACTATTATAAGGTTGGATAATCAAATTGCTTGATTAAAATGATAACATATTTTAGTTTTTTTTAAAGAAAATACATAATTAATTTAATTTAAATTTTAATACATATCCCAAACAAACAACACTAAAATGCAGTTAGATTAGATTGAATAAGTTGGATTCATAGCGCCATCCTAACTCACTAACACTTGGGTAGCTGTTTGTCAAAATATTACAGGTTAATTTAACATCAGTTATACCACATTCTAAAAGAATCTAATCCTGCGGTAAAAAAGATTTATAATCCTTATAATTTGTTTGACTTGAAAAAAAAACGAAGAGGAAGAGTAAGAGTTAAACAAATAAAAATTTATAGTGACGCGTGCAATTATGTAGAGCGGTACAGTTAAACAAATAAAAATTTAATTCATTACTTTATATTAAAAATATTATTACATTTTCTTAATGATTATAGTTCCAAAAGCTTTTCTAAAAAAACTATTTTTTAAATAAGCTAAAACTAAATATTTCAAAAATATCATTATCCCTAAACTAAAACAATTAATTTGAATTTTGATGATTATCTAGACGATATTTACATCTAATATAGTTCAAATTCAAATTCACGCAAAACAGAAAAAGTTGTATCTTCAATTAACGAAAATCGATGCCAAATCTAAACAATAAATAACTTCTTCATAAAATAAATAAATGAGATTATAGGAGCAATTGACTAAAAATTATAGGAACCTTTGACTAAAATTAATTTTGATAAACAAAGAATTTATCATGCGTATCGTTATACTATATCAAAATCTTACTTGTTTATTAGCTTTCAGTTATACTACATTTTAAGAGAATCAAATCCTAATAATTAATTTGCTTTTATAAAAATAAAAACTATAAGATAAGAATCTTTTGGTACAAAAACAAAAAAACTGGTGAGAAAAATTATATTTTAAATATATTGATATACAATAAACATAAGTGGAAAAAAGGTAAGATTTTCTTGAGCAATCAATTATGCCATTATCAATAATAATGAATTATAAAGCTAGGCAATGATATTTTAAGAAAGATGTAAAAAATTTATTCTTCTCAATCCTTTTCTCCAAAAATGAGAAAAGAAAATATAAAGTGACCAACCCTTTTCCTTTTAAAGAGAAATTTCTCTTCTCTCTTGTACTTTTTCCCCCTTTTATTTCACCTTAATAAAAAAAAAAAAAAGCAGAAAAGAACAAGGCAAAAATAACTTTCTAGAATTTCAGTGACGTCTGCACTTAGAATACCGTTTAAGGAATAAAAAAATTAATTGATTACACTGTTTTAAAATAGTATTCCACATTTTTAATAACAATATTTTCAAAAGCTTTCCTAAGATTTATTTTGTGTGTGTGTGTTGAAATGAACTGAAACTACAATATTTTAAAAATATCCTTATCTCTAAAGTAAAATAATTAACTTGAACTTTGATGATTATCGAGACGATTCTACATCTGGCTCAAATTCACGCAAAATGAGAAAATAGTATCTTCATCTTCATTAAAGAAATTTGATGCCAAATATAAACAATAAATAACTAGTATATTAAAAAAACAAGATTTAAATCATTAACTACAGAATTATTCTTTCCGAAATAAAATTTTGAACTTTTAACAATTGTTTTCTTTCAGAAATCAGTGGGTCCCATCTATTTTATATGCCAAGTTGCTGTCTTTCTTTTTCGAAAGGATCGGTTATTATGCAGTTTGAGAATAATATGTTATGATTTGGAAAAATAAGCATTTGTCACTTTATGTGGACTAACTTCAAACCCGAATGAAGAAAAAAACACAAGCAAGCAAAAAAGTAGAGAGATACATAAAAAATATAATTGTTTATATATTAAAATTATGCAAATTGAAACATATCAGACCAGATCTTGTGAAATATTATTAATCCAAAATAGTTATTTAAAGATAAACGGAATCTCAAATTTTTTAAAAGATAGTCACAACTCACAATCTATATTTAATTAGATTAAAAGTTTCAGTAACGCCTTTCTCGTGAAGATCAAGCAAAAATGCAGAAGAAGACAAACTTTACCTGCGTTTGCCAAATCGATCAAACAAGAGTTCATGAACCAGATCACAGAAAAGGATAAATAAAAATTTAAACTTTTTCCACAAAAGAATACTCTAATGTAATAAATATATCAATTTTTACAAATAATATGACGATAAGGTAACGAAAAAATAAACATACAAACTGGGTTATAAAAATTAGTTGCAATATAATAAAATTATTTTCAGAAAACATGCAAAAATTCGGCAACATAGATAAAGGTATATATTTTTCACTCATTTTATAAAAATTAGTATAAATTTAATCTATTACTTATTGTAAACTTTTATAAGTGTCTTTTTAAAAAAATAGTATAATCTATTAACTTATTTAAAAATTTATTTCATATTAACAATGTTAAATACATTAATAAAATTAATTTTAAGAAACTTAATAAATTTATTTTTAAATATGCATATAAGTCTTTTTTTAATTTGTATGATAAAAAAATTATTCTTCTATTATTAAAATTAAATTTAAAATAAAAATAAAAAAGAAACAATTTAAACACATCCATGTATATTTAGGTGTGGATGAAAAAGATAATCTTATTAAAAAAATTATAAATAATATAAAAAAAATAATAGATGAAGATGTGAATGCTAATTTTTTATTTTTTATTTCTTAAAGTTCTTGTTAAAATTTGAAATTTAAAATAAAAATAAAAAAGGAATAACTTTCCTACATTCATATTAATATGATGAAAGAAGATAATCTTATTAAAAACAATTTAAGATAAGATGAAAATAAAAAACGGATGAAAATATAAATATTAAATTTTTTATTTTTTATAAATTTAATTATAGCCTATTTTTATTAAATTTATCTTTTTTAATTAAATAGATATAATCAAAGTAGACATTAAATTAAAATTCCATTTAAAATCTGATTTATTTTTTTTTCTCATGGGTAACGAGAATGAAGAAAACCACGCGTTTTGTTTTGATTTTGCGTGCAACTAACTGAAACAGAAAAAAATGCAGAGGAACGTTAAATTTGATTAAAAATGAGTGAGAATTGACATTGGAAATGAAAACATTTGACGAAAGAGAAAGATTTGGACTTGTTTGACTGAAATAAACATGCATTAATTACCTGTAGCCACGTTTTCCTATCTACAGCTTTGAAATCATCTCTGATATACAAAAGAGCTCCGGAAATGACTCCTGAGAATACACAATCGAAATCCAAATAAAAGAATGATAAACAATGTTACGTTGAGGAGTATGAAAAGAGAATAGTAATTGAATTGATTTACCGGTGTCATAGCCAAAGAGAAGGCCACCGATTCCAGCAGAGAAAGCGAGGCGAAGGACATAAGGATTTTTCCAGGAAAGAGACAAACATTCTCTGAAAGCAGAGATATCAGCCTCAGGTACTCCTCCTTCCATGCCAACTCTCTCAGAAATCAAAAAGAGAGAAATGAAAAGTACCAAAGAAAGAGAAAGAGAGAGAGTTTGGTCTGACTAGAGAAGGAAGAAGGGGGTGGGTGTATTTATAAAGGGAAAAACCCTCTTATGTTATCTCTCCCACAATTCACTCTCGTTTGTCTGTTGCCAAATAATAACAACTCGGTGTTTTGTTCAACAAAAAAGAAAATTTGTAACGGTGTGCATAACACATCTCATTAAATGTATTTTTAATTATTTTCACTAATATTATTTTTTAATATACTCTTCTGTATTAAATAATATTTATTATTTATACATATATAAATATTTTTACAATTAATATATTGGATTGTAATAACATCTATTAATGATTTTTACGAGCACATGTATATTAATATTTCTTTCATTACTCTCCATTATCATAAAAGTGATTAGTCAGGTTTAATTTTTAATGAATTTCGTTTTTTTTTTTTGTGCACATGTATATTAATATAATACTTTTTTACCTTTTTTTACTACGAGCAAATCTCTACTAATTTTACCATATTTAATATTATTATTATTATTAAAAATATTCCTATAATTAATTGAGATTGTATTTTTAATATTTATTTTTATTTTGGTATCAAGTTCTAAAGAAGGGTAATTTGAAAAAAAAATATTTTTAAATGAGATTAGTAAAATTAAATAATATATACTAACTTTCTTAATTAATGTGATTATGTTTTGTTAGTTTATCTTCATAATCCGATGGAGTTTGCACATCATGGGACTAAAACTTGAGATCCCTTACAAGTGAATATTATAACACGTAAGTTTTGATAGTGTTATATTACTTATAATTGTTTATATTGTTAAGTTGATATGTCTTTGTTGAGAGGCTTGTGAGCTTAAAGATCCCTTTAAGGCTTTAGTATTGTTGAGAGGAGGTTCATTGGACAAACACCCAGTTTGACCCTAGAGGGAAAAATATATAAGATTTTTGTTTTGATAAGAATCTCATAAACTCTTTCCCTCAGATTTCTAGAAATAGGATTTTAGAGAGAAGGTATCTAGTCTATGAATTTTTTTTTCTCTTAATCTTCTTCTTCTTCTTCCAATTCTTGCCTAAGATTCTGTTGTTGTGGTTCAGGTGATGGGAACCTAGAATCAAATAGTTGATTTCATGCGAAGCTTCGATTTCCCTTTCTTCTTCCTCGAATTCGTGCTACTCAAGTAAGGGAAACTAGTTACTTGCTTTTATGGAGTTGTTGAGTTGTTAAAGGTGGTGTTGGTTGTAACTTCCATGAATTCATTTCAAATTCGTGGCTGAATATGGAACCAATTAGAGAGTGTTGGGTGTTGAGAGATGAGGTTTTTGGGCTTTTGAGAAGAATGTGATGATTTGAGTTGATTTTTGGTTGCATGCTAATTTTAAGTGCCTTTTATAGATTTGTTGTGACATAAGAAGTTGTTGTTTTGTGTTGCATGCATGGGATGTTTGATGATTTTTAGGTTTTGGCTTGAGACTAGGTTCTGCATATGCGAAATTCTGATGTTGGGTTCGACACGCCTTCAACGCATCAGACATTGTTCTAACTTGAGGCTCTTTATCTTGATCACGTTGGACGTAGGATTGGTGGCACCGGGCATGAGAAGAGAGACTCGTCTCAAGTTAGAACTGTGTCAGGCGTGGTTGAATGGCGCCAAACATGGATGCCTTGAGAGCTCTCTAACTTGGTAAAGTTGGGCCAATGTTGTGTGGCACCTAGTGTGGCCAAGCTAGAGCTCTCTATCTAGTTTTCGCTAGGCATTGTGGCGATGACGTTGGGCAAGACTCAAGCAAAGACTTTTTGCTTGAGGAGTGGCTCGGCATGGTGTTTTATCATGCTAGGCGTGAGATTCTAGGAGCCTCTACCTTAGCCATGTCGGGCGCAGGTTAGAGTTGTCAAAACGGGTCAGCCCAACCCGACCCACCTCAACTCACTTTTTAAGTGTGTTAACCCGGCCCGGCCCACCAAATTTATCATCCAAAATTTTCTAGCCCAGCCCGGTCCACTACGGGTTGGTGGATTAAATGGGTCAATCCACCAACTCATCTAATTTTTTAAAAAAAATTATAATATAAAATAATTTTTAATCTAAAGTAAAAATTATCAAATTAAGTATTATGCATACAACATTAAACTTAAATTAAAAAATATATAACTTTAAAAAATTAAAACAAAAAAATAAAAATTCTTTCATGAGAGTGATTATTCATTAATACTAAATTTTATTTGAAGTTTGAGTAGATAAACTTATAGCAATTTCATAATGTTTAACATTGATTTTATCTTTATCTATAAAAAAATGATATATTATTAAAATAATACATATATAATAATAAATAGTTAAGTGGGTTGTTAGTGGGTTGGGTTGATGGGGTAGTAAGTGGGTTAGGTGGGCAGTCCGGCCCACCACGGACTCAACCTAGGTGGGCCGGGTCGATAGTGAGCCAGGTCACATTTTTTTAATCGTCATAAAATTTTTTTCATTTTTTTGGCCCGGCTCGGACCATTTTCAAGGTGGGTCAGGTTGACCCACGGGCTGGAGCCCAGTTTGATGGCTCTAGTGCGGGTTGTGTAGCATTGAGTGTGAACGAGGCAAAGAACTCCCTACTTGGATGATGTCGGGAAGGTGAGTAGCACTAGGCGTGAGTTGTTGAAATTAAAACATGATGATTTGATTGATAAAATGTTGATTTCTTGTTGGTTTGGGTTGTTATATGATGAGTTAGTTGTGACTTGTGAGTTGTACATTGAGTGTTGACCATGTCGTGTGTTGACTAAGTTGTGTGTTGATTATGTAGTTATTATGAAAATATGATGTGTTGTTGAGATGCATGTTGATTATAGTGTTGTAAATGAGTTATGATGACGAAGATATAAGTTGAAAAGTTATGTGTTGATTGTGTTACTATGTTGAAAATATAATAAGTTGTTGTGTTATTGAACTATATTGACCACTTAGAACTAGAGAAGATGTTTTCGAAAGTTGAATATCCCATTGTGTGGATATTATGTTGTGGTGTTTCGATTTAACGGTTGAATTTATAAAATTTACATTTAATATAAAGTTATTAAGCGGTGTAATGCTTAATAAAAGTTACACTAGAATCGTTTGAACCCTCCTTATATATATATATATGAATAGAGAGAGAGAGATTTTACGATAAAATTTTATATAAAAAAATGTTAGCTGATTTTTAAATATTTAATAGTTTTAAAATTAATATTAGATGATATTTAATAATTTAAAAAATATTTTGAATGTTCAATAATAAAAAAATTTATTGATATTTTTTGTATAGATGTGATAAGAAAAAAACTATGATGAATTTCAAATATTTAGGAGGATGTAGTGGTTTAGGATTTCGTAGGATTTTAAAAGACTTTTTTTGAGTAAAAAAGGATTTTATGTTACTTAAAAATAATCTGGTGGTATTCAATATGAATTTTCAAGATTTTTTAAAGAGTCCATTAAAATTCGTTGATATTCATTTAAAAACAATTCATTGGTATTAAAAAATATAGAGATTTTAAAGGATTGTTTATTAAAGAGATTTTGAAGGATTTTTTAGTGGTATTTATAAATACCAAATTCATAAAACAATCCCATCAGTGCTTCAAGAATTTTCAAGTGAGTTTTTCAAAGCGACTTTTCAAGTGCTTCATGTAACGCCCGATTCTAACGCCCAATTTATATAATAATTATATATTTCTTAAATAATATTTTCGCAAATATATCGTTAACTATTTTTTTATGGATAAAGATAAAGAAACAGAATATTTTGTGAATTTAATACATAGCATAAGTATTTATAATAATGTATTATTATACACAATATTTCTTTCTTTCACTTCTATTACAAACTTTACATTGATAATAGAAATAAATTTACAATAACAATTATAATAGATTCATCAAATAGCCTCCACATTCCAATTTCTTCCAAGAAAGACAACA